CATATTGGACGAATACTCGTTGAAAACTCTTTTTTGTGTCGTTTATTCTGCATGGTATTTTGGCTTTTAAATTTTGTGCCTTTTTAAAACTAAAAGCTTCCACAAAAATTGGTATTTAGACATGTGATGCCCTAAACGGTTATTAATTTCACTTGCCTATGTTCTGCATTCATATACAGAAGATGATATTTAAACTTTGAAAGTATTGACTGCACGATTGGACACATGACATGTACGTATACGACAAGTTCAAGCACGTAGAGCCGGGACAGTATGTCCCCATGCAATCTTAGAACACATGTTCTAGACTTCTAGCTGTGTGATTCGTTATCCAATTCTGATAAGATATTCTCTACAAAAACCTTTCACAGTGCTAATATTGATTCTTTTATTTGGCAATTCATTTCTACAATAACTTAATACAAGATTATATATACCTCCCATTTATCGATCTTAGACCTTAACCATATTAGTACGTAACTTATCTTCCGAACCTTCTTCTAGTTTTTGATCAAGTTTCATAGTTCAAACATTTACTTGAACGTCAAAATACTTAGATTAATATACTACACCGCTCCAAAAATACTCAAAATAATATTCGAAATGGTGTTCTAAATGGAGTATTTGGTTACTTTGGCCTATTCTAAGCTATTTTTCCTTAACGAGCCACTATCCAAAACTTTGCATAGACGGACACACATTTTGTAACTATTTAAAAAAAAATTGTTACAGTTCTATTTTATTTGATAAATTTCTTAATTCACATGATATAAACGCTTACAATAGTTGGAAAAGTGGAAGGCCACAATTTCAATTCAAATATGAGAGATTTTCATCACATTATTGGTAAGGGACAAAACGCTGAAAGAGATATAACATATGACGTCATATAATGAAAGAAAACATTAATTTTTTTTTTTCATTTTACAATTCTTTTTTTTCCTTGTAATGAAAACATTATTTTATTAAAACTAAAATTCTAAATAATAATTGTTGGTAATGTATGTGTTCAACTATGGCCGACTAAGCTCACCGTCCCAATATTTATTTTACAAGCTGTTTATTTTATTTCGGAACAAAGCGTTAAGT